TTTTTTTTTTTTGGTGGGGGTTGTGACACTGTAAGTGAAGGAGTGGAGAGAAGGGGCCGGTGGACCGAGCGCTGAGGGGCAACTGACGTAAGTTCCGTCATGTGATCGGTAGTTCCGATGAAAAGTACGAAAAATTTCCATGGGCATATGGAAGAAAAAGGAAAAAGGGAACGTCGAAACCGGCTTTTTGTTTCTAACGCTTCTCTGCGCACATTCCCTCCCTCTCACTGTGTACTGGTACTCGTCCTAGCCTTTCATTTTCATGATTACTTTTTGTTCATCCTGCAAATTTCTGCAGTAATTTAGCCGTAAGATCGTTTAAACGCACGCGATGCTTCCCACCAAAAAACTCCGCTGATTCTCACTGGCTATTTCTTGCAAGCCGAATTGCTAAACTTGCATGACACGGAAGGGATCAGTGTTAGAATTCTTAATTTTCCGATAATTGCTGGGTGAATGATGTCTTGGCTCGATTTGCTACTCTCTCCAGAGCTGTTCCTGAAAAAATTAATGCGGCAGCACTCCATGTAATCCGGAAGCGAGCCGTATGTATACGTCAGCGTGAGCCTATGTGTTTTTGCAAACTCTTGCCATTGATGCGCAAGTGTAGCAGCTTACAGGCCGACATGACTGCGCTTTCCCTTGGTTCTTACGTCCATCTCAATTCGCTGACCGTCCGGTCAAAATCACACTGTCAGACTTGTGTGCAAGACTATTCTCAGTCCTTTCATCCATCGTCGCTACAGTATCAGATAGTGCTCTGAGTGCCCGAAACAATTCTTCTGGTTGACCGTCATCCGTCAGAACCTGGATAACGGTCCGTCCCTCCGATCGTCGGTTGGTTCGCTCATCCGCCCATCAGTCATTTCTGCGTGGTGCTCACCAGTGACCTACCACCCACAAACTGAGTTTTTGCAGAACTGCCTGCTTGAGAACTGATTGCCAAAGTTTAACTTCCCGTGTTGGCCTGGATTTTGGTGTTTGTTTGCTTATTTTTTGCGTACGTGTATCAGTGGTGGATTAGAATTCAAAACTCCATTACTGTTCGTGAAATCGACTATTAAGATCCGAAATATTTCATCATCCTGCATACACTTGCCATATTTGCTCCACATTCCGGTATCCATGCTCAAAATCCGCGCTGGCCCAGAAATTGACTCCAACAGTTGGCTGTTGATCATTTGTTTTATAGCGCGGTCAACAAAAATGAAGCTTTTTTGAGACTGTGTTTTGCTTAACAGTGACGCAGGCTCAAGAAGGCTTCAGCTGAAGAAGCCTTGGTGTCCAGCGATGAAAAACCATTATTGG